GGATTGTCGTGATGGAAAAAAGAGGAAAAGAGGGAGGGAATATTGGAATAGCCAGTCAAGTCAAGCTCTTGGCTGCTGTTGTTTCTTTTTTTTTTTTTTACTTAGCTGATGGTGACAAAAAACTCTCGGCAGAGGAGGAGGAGGCCTGGCGAATTGCTGAAATGGGGAAGCCCATCCTCGGGGAAAACTCGCGCCTGGAAGTGATCATAGAAGAATCGTACGATTTCAAGGTAAGCCTCAAAGGGCGAAGTTTGGGCTGCTTCCCTTCACCTCAAGCGAGAGACGGTGGAAGCTACAGTTTGGGGTCTGAAAGCAAATTTATCTGTGCATTTTTGAACCACTATTTAAACTTAAGCTCAGGGAACTCTTGAAATTCAAAAGTAGTAGTGTTGGGATAGAAAGATGATAGATAGATAGATAGATAGATAGATAGATAGATAGATAGATAGATAGATAGATGGGTGGACAGACAGACAGACAAGACAGGAATAGATGGGTAGATAGAGATAGATAGATAGATAGATAGATAGATAGATAGATAGATAGATAGATAGATAGATAGATAGATAGATAGATAGGGATAAATAGATAGATAGATAGATAGATAGATAGATAGATAGATAGATGGATGGATGGATGGATGGATGGATGGATGGATGGATGGATGCATGCATGCATGCATGCATGCATGGATGCATGGACAGACAGAGGAATGGATGGGTAGATAGATAGATAGATAGATAGATAGATAGATAGATAGATAGATAGATAGATAGATAGATAGGCAGACAGACAGACAGACGGATGGATGGATGGGTGGATGGATGGATAGACAGACGGACAGACGGACAGACAGACAGAGGAATGGATGGGTAGATAGATAGATAGATAGAGAGAGAGATGATAGAGAAGAGAGAGAGAGAGAGAGAGATTAGAGAAAACTGTACTGTGTATTATATTGCCTACAATCATTTGCAAAATTGCACAGCAATATAGATACATTTTAATGCAATTTTTTTTTTAAAAAAAATCTTTCAATTAACCTAACGAATGACATAGAATGAATGGGGAATGACAAATAAAGAAAAAAAAAACTGATTGAGTCGCAAACACAAGAAGCCAATCAGAATGGAGATTGACAAGATTTGCTCACCGCAACCATCCACGATTCCTATTAGTGTTATTGTGATTGTTCACTGAAAATGGGGCTCATCGAAATCCCTCTGGACGTTGTGCAGAACGCCTGGCCCTGCCTCCGTTGGCGCCTTGAGTCTGATCCCTCGGTGGCTGAGAAAACCCCTGGGGGGGGGCTGCTGTTCTGGGGAGATGTACATAGAGAGCCTGCAGGGATTTTTCAAGACCCCCCCAGGGAACCAGACGGGAGCCAGGAGACTGCGTCTTTTTCTGGGAAGTGGTGTGACATCTCCCCGTGCCATTCTCCTACACTGATGCTTCCCTGATGCTGAATAGAGGGGTGACTTGTCAGCCTGACCCCCAAAACCCAGACAGCCACAGGTGATCCTTCCAAGTAGAATATAACAACAACAGCAGCAGCAGCAACAATAACAACAACAACAACAACAATGATAATAATAATACAAAAAAGTCTGGATAGTGGATGTGGCAGTGCCTGGAGATAGCAGAATAGACAAGAAAGAACTAAAAAAGATAACAAAATACAAAGACCTACAAATAGAAATAGAAAGACTGTGGTAAAAGCAACCAAGGGTAGTACCAATAGTCATAGGCGCCTTGGGTGCAATCCCAAAACAACTGGAGCACCACTTGAACACCATTGGCATTGACAAATTCACTATTAGTCAATTGCAAAAGGTGGCCTTACTAGGAACTGCTTCCATCCTGCGACGATACCTGTAATACCATCAAACATCCACATCTGCCTATCCCAGGTCCTTGGGAAGGACTCAATAGGTAGACAGAAATGCCAAATCCAGTCTGAACATCTGGCTGACTGTGCGATGATCAATGATGATGATGATGATGATAATAATAATAATAATATGTTGGAAGGGACCTTGGAGGTCATCTTGTCCAACCCCTTACTCAGGCAGGAAACCTTTTACCATTTCAGACAAATGGCTGTCCAGTCTCTTCTTAAAAACTTCCAGAGTTGGAGCATTCACCGCTTCAATTTCTTTATTGTTCCTCACCCATAGACAGAATCTTGCCAGAGTGAAGTCAACTACCAACCCCATAAAATGTATACAGGTAGTCCTCAACGGCAGCAGCACTGGAGCAAGTAATTTACAATCGTTTTTCACACAAACGACCGCTGCAGCATCCCCACAGTCGTGGGATCAAAATTTGGGGGCTTGGCAAACCGGCATGTTATTTATGATGTCTGCAGTGTCAGTAAGAAGGAAAAAGGCTGCATCTCCATATGTTGTCAAAGCAAGAACATCCGATCTTAGCAGCGTTGACATCAGGTTGATTAGTTGGCGCCCCAGGAGGGTAATCAGCCCTGAATCACTGCAGAGCATCTCAAATTTCCCAGAATCCCTTAGCATTTTTAGAGGCATCCTGGGACATTTGCAAACCATGAATGTCAAGTTCTTACCCCAGCAGATCCCTGTCTGCTGCCTCCAGTCTCCCAATCTGGAGTTGCTCCAGATATACCAAGGTCCTGCTCTTCCACCCAGCCTCTTCACCATCTCTGTTTCTGCCGCAGAACACTGTGGACAAACTCATCAAGAAAACCAATCTGGCCCTGGTGATTGGCACGCACTCCTGGCGGGAGCAGTTCCTGGAGGCAATCACTGTCAGTGCAGGTAAGTGACACCCCTGCCCCCCCCCCACTACCAGCAGTGAAGCCAGCTTGGAGGGATCAAAAAATGATACCTTAGGGAAATCTGCTCCATGAAATGAAAATGCCAGGAAGTTAGTAGACAAAATGCTGGGGTACAAAACCTGCACATTGCAGAGCTTCTCCCCTTGGCAGGTTGAAGATGGGCAGACTTCAACCCCCATCCAGCTGGAGAATTCTGGAAGTTGTTTACCTAGCTATTCTCTCTCTCTCTCTCTCTCTCTCCCTCCCTCCCTCCCTCCCCCCCTCTCTCTCTCCTATCATCTATCTATCATCTAGCTATCTTCTATTATCTATCTATCTTATCTGTCATCTATCTTCTATATCTATTATCTCTATCTTCTATCATCTATCTATTATCTCTATCTTATCTCTCATCTATCTCTTCTATCATCTATTATCTATCTATCTGTCATCTATCATCTATCTTCTATCTATTATCTTTCTTATCTGTCATCTATCTATCTATCTATCTATCTATCTATCATCCATCATCTATCTATCTATCTATCTATCTATCTATCTATCTATCTATCTATCTATCATCCATCTATCTATCTGTCTATCTATCTATCTATCTATCTATCTATCTATCTATCTATCTATCTATCTATCTATCTATCTATCTATCTTTATCTATCATCCATCATCTATCTACCTATCTATCTACCTACCTACCTACCTACCTACCACCTACCTATCTATCTATCTATCTATCTATCTATCTATCTATCTATCTATCTATCCTTATCTATTATCTATCTGCACATTTCCCTGACCCAGTTCATGTAGCTGAGGTGTTACATTCATTGTCCTTGGGGTGCCCAAACTGGCTCCTTGTGGCTACATTCTGTTCCTGCTGCCGGATACTCTTCAAGGGCAGCTCCATGTAGTCCATACAGGAGATGATTGGGGCACGAATGACTAAAAGGAGGGCTTCAGTTGGAGTCCAAATGCACACATCTTAAAAGCTGACCAGGTTGAGAATCAGGGCTGTTTGTCCGTTATTGTTCAGGAGAAAAAAACTGCACTGCGGGAAGAACAGACCGGGATTAGATTGGAGAATTTAGCTAGCTTAGCAAATGCTGGTGACCCACAAAGGAGCAAGCAAACCAGAATGGCTGATGGCCATGTCACCCTTTACTCCCTGCTAAGAAAATGCTGGCTACTCTGCTCTGCCTGGCACACACACACACACACACACACACACACATACACTCACACACTCACACACTCACACACCGTTATACAAAAACTGTCCTATGCTGGAACCGTCTTTCTCTGAACGCAGAATTCATGTGAAAAGACAATTGTGCGGCTGTTCTTGTCTCTCCCGCTTAGAATTAATAAGCTTTGGAGATAAAGAGACATTGCAAGTTGTGTTATTAAATCAGGCTGCCTCCGTCTGTGAATTTTCCTCCCCACAACTGGGGGGGGGGGGAACGAGGCAAAGTGGGCAGGGCTGGCCATTTGGCTCGCCTTTCGGAAGTCAATCCTGGCCAGACTTCAATGCGCTGTTATCGACTCTGAGCTGATGCTGGCCTAAATTTCTGCAGAATGTTGATATTTCCTAGACTAGTAGAAGGATATAATAGGAGCTGGAGTTGAATCCCTTTGTGGGGTTCCCCCCCCCCCATGAATCATGATAGGAAAGAGTCTGGCATTGATGTTCTTGCAAGACCAAGGGCGCCCTCTGTTGGGCCACATCCTACCTAACAGAGATTTAGAACTTTTTTGTGATGGTTTTCTTTTTGGCAGTCTTTTAGCTCTTGTCAAAAAGCCTTGCCTGTCTTCTCTATTCCAGTGGTGACGAACCTATGGCACGGGTGCCAGAGGCGGCACTCAGAGCCCTCCCTGTGGGCACGTTGCCGTCGCCCCAGTCCTAGGCCTTCAGCTGGGTTTTATAAAACCTTTTTGCTTTAGGCCTCCGCCGCCGTGTGCAAAAAAAAAAAGTTCAATCAATCAATTTCAACTTCTTGCGGGGAAAAAAAAGATCTTGCAAAGTTGGAATGGATTGATTGAACTTTTTAGTCCCACCCAGTCTGCCGTTACCACCGCAGCCACGCCCACCCAATGGGCCACACCCACCCGGCACTTGACAATGCATAAGTGGGTTTTGGGTTGCCGTTTGGGCACTCGGTCTCTAAAAGGTTCGCCATCACTGCAGTCTATTTATTTGCCTGGAATTCAGCTCTTGTCATCTGTCACTTGGCCTGATTTTAATTTCTCCGGTTAACAAAAAAGTCCCTGGGAGCAGCAGTTGCGTTGCTGCACGTCTGTCTTTCTGACTTCTTTTTCTGAATGTTCTTTCTACCAATGGTGGTGGTGGTGGTAGAGGAGGAGGAGGAGAAAATCTAAAATGGTTATGAAATAAAGCTCCAAACCCTGACCCAACAGATTGCAGTGGGAGCCCATCAGTGTCAAGTGGCAGATGTTTCCCTCTCGTACTGGAGGTGGAACCACCATGAAGATCTGACAGAAGAGAATATTCGTAGCTCGGGGTTGAACTGTGGGGTCTTCAGTGCTCTCTTTGCTTGCAGATGTTTTATGACCCAGCTAGGTAACATCATCATTGCTAAAGGAATTGAGGTTTGTGGAGAGGAGGAGGAGGAGGAGGAGGAGGAGGAGGAGAAGGAATTTGGTTATTTTCTTGCAAACCTTTCATTACCCAAACTAGGTAACATCATCAGTGCTAGAAGGGGGTAGGATCTGCTCATTTTATCATCAAGGAATCATCAAAAGCACTTCCACCGACACCAACAGGACAAGCCACTAGATACAAAATGAGAGCAAACTCCACTTCCTACTAATACTGATGAAGTTAGCTAGTTGGGTCATGAAACGTCTGCAAGAAACCACCACGCTCAGAGAGCATCAAGGACCCTATAGTCCTTCTCCTTCTCCTCCTCCTCCTCCCCCTCCTCCTCCCCCCTCCCCCTCCACAGTCCTCTCCCTCCTCTTCCTCCTCCCCCTTCCCCCTCCCCCTCCACAGTCCTCCTCCTCCTCTGCTCTCCTCCCCCCTCCTCCAGTCTTCCTCCTCCCCCTCCCCCTCCTCCTCCACAGTCCTCCTCCTCTTCCTCCTCCCCCCTCCCCCTCCACAGTCCTCCCCCTCCTCTTCCTCCTCCCCCTTCCCCCCTCCCCCTCCACAGTCCTCCTCCTCCTCTGCTCTCCTCCCCCCTCCTCCAGTCTTCCTCCTCCCCCTCCCCCTCCTCCTCCACAGTCCTCCTCCTCTTCCTCCTCCCCCCTCCCCCTCCACAGTCCTCCTCCTCCTCTTCCTCCTCCCCCTTCCCCCCTCCCCCTCCACAGTCCTCCTCCTTTCCTCCTCTGCTCTCCTCCCCCCTCCCCAGTCTTCCTCCCTCCCCCTCCCCCCTCCTCCTCCACAGTTCCTCCTCCTCCTCTCTTCCTCCTCCCCCCTCCCCCTCCCAGTCCTCCTCCTCCTCTTCTCCTCCCCTTCCCCCTCCCCCTCCACAGTCCCTCCTCCTCTCTGTCCTCCCCCCCCTCTCTCCAGTCTTCCTCCTCCCCTCCCCCTCCCCCTCCACAGTCCTCCTCCTCCTCCTCCTCCATCCTCCTCCACAGTCTTCCTTCTCTCCCCTCCCCCTCCTCCTCCACAGTCCTCCTCCTCCATCCTCCCCCTCCCCCCTCCCCCTCCTCCACAGTCCTCCTCCTCCTCCTCCTCCTCCTCCTCCCCCCAAACCCCACTCCCTTCTCCTTCAGAGAGCACCAAGGACCTCCCGTTTCACGCCCCTGTCCAATTTGGGGTCCCAACTCCCTACCCCTCCTTTTTTTTTCCTGCCCGCCTCGCCCGCCGAGGCCGAACGTCTGACTCAGGACTCCTTGCCCCAGGTGTGGAAGACGAGGATGAAGACGGGCGAGAGGAGAGGCTGCCGTCTTGCTTCGACTACGTCATGCACTTCCTGACGGTCTTCTGGAAGGTTCTCTTCGCCTGCGTGCCGCCCACCGAGTACTGGAACGGCTGGGCCTGCTTCAGTGTTAGCATCCTGGTCATCGGCATGCTGACCGCCCTCATCGGCGACCTGGCCTCCCACTTCGGCTGCACGGTGGGACTCAAGGACTCGGTCAATGCGGTCGTCTTTGTGGCCTTGGGCACGTCCATCCCAGGTGGGCCACCCGTCTGCCCTGTTCACACACGACTCTTGGCCCGGTCAGCCGCTTACGGGTGGTCCTCGACTCACGACGGCAGCGGAGCCCAGCATTTTGGCCGTAAAGTCATTGCGGCTGTGAGTCCGAGGCGCCGTGTGGTCGCAATCCGTTTTACCATTAGGTGACGATCGTTGTAAAATGAGCCACACGGTCATTAAGTGGACCCTGAGGAATGAATACATGAACTCAGCATTTCCAATGGGTGGTATTTTCGATATTTTCTGCTGAAAAACCTTTAGGGCTGATTTTCCCACAGAAAATATCCAAAACCACCCCTTGGAAATGCTGGATTCATGTGTTCATTCCTCAGGGTCCACTTAAGGACCGCGTTATTCAGACTCCAGTCGGTGAACAACTGTCCAACTTGCAATCATTCGTTTAGTGACCCTTCAGAGTTATAACGGCGCTGGAAAAAAGCGACTTACGACCATTTTTCCATCCTTACGACTCTTGCAGCATCCCCTGGGTCACGTGATCCAAATTCAGATGCTGAGCAACTGACTCATATTTATGACGGCCGCAGTGTCTTCCAGGATCACGTGATCCCCCCTTTGCCGCCTTCTGACAATAGGGCAGCTAGAGCCACTGAGGCACTGTGGCCCTATGTTGTTGTAAGTTGAGGACCCCCTGTACACATGGGCCGTGAAAGTGGGGAGACAGTGGGGGGCGGGTCCTCCAGGGGACAAAGGGCTGTCTGGTTTTTTGGGACTTGTGCATCCTCAGCGCTCTCCTCTTTCCGCAGACACCTTTGCCAGCAAAGTGGCCGCTCTGCAGGACCAGTGCGCGGATGCGTCCATCGGCAACGTGACGGGCAGCAATGCGGTCAACGTCTTCTTGGGCCTGGGCGTGGCCTGGTCGGTGGCGGCCATTTACTGGGCTTTCCAAGGCAAAAACTTCGAGGTGCAGACGGGCACCCTGGCCTTCTCTGTCACCCTCTTCACCATCTTTGCCTTCGTTTGTATCAGTGTCCTCATGTACCGCCGGCGGCCACACAGAGGGGGTGAGCTGGGGGGTCCCCAAACTGCCAAAATCCTGACCACCTGCCTCTTTGTGGGCCTCTGGCTGCTCTACATCCTCTTTGCTGGCCTGGAGGCCTACTGCCACATCAAGGGTTTCTGAAGGACGTCAACGGAAGGACGTGGCGAGGGAGAATGGACACCAAGGGGCTCGCTTTGCAGCACCTTCAGCAGGCCCGATGTCCATGAAGCTCCTCCTCCACTGTTTCGAGCTTCTTTTGAAGGCAAACACCCTCTGTCATCTAGAGGGAAGACAGATCTAGACGGAAGACTCCCACCCTGTCTTCTACCAGCCTGTCCATTTTGACCTACCACATTTTCAAGCATCTTCTGATGGTTGGGCACCTCTTGTTTTCCAACTGGAGACCTCTTCTCCCTTCTTGCTTGCCTCTAGCAAGGGACTCCGATCCATTCCAGTCTTGGTGTGTCCCACTCACAGAGAGACCGGGTGCAAACCCAGAGGACTGGAGCGGGCATCTGTGTTAATCCCCCTGCCCCAATTGCTTTGATTCTTTGGCCCTCCCAAGGACCCCAGTTGTGTTTCTACTGAAGTGTCTTCCTGTGGCTATATTGTTTTCTTCAAGCTGGTACCCTTGGCCTGGATCCAAAGGGAGATGTTCTCTCTGCTTTAGAGCACACTCACATACACACAGAGAGAATTGGAAACAGACCTTTCTCTTACTCTCTTTTTTGAGGTGGGAGAAGGAAACATTGAAAAAGGTCTGTGTCAGGGGCAAAATAAGACGTATTATGACGTCTCTCCTGTTGCTGGACATTTTTGGATACGTTCTTGGGGTCGAAGCCAGCGTGAAATCAGTTCTGGAGAAGACTGGCGAGTTTTAACTGTCCCAGTTCATGGAAACAACAGAAGGGGATATATTTGGCCTCAGTAGCAGCCCCGTTGAGGGCAGGAGAACAGATGATCAGTTGAGGGATCTTGCTGGATTTATGGGAAATAGTTTGGGCAGAGACACAGACCTCTGTGGAAGCTACAGTTTTCCAGTCTTCTGCTTTACTCTCTTGGACAAGGGTTAAAGAAACCTTGTTCCTTCTTATCCCCATGTTAGTGGGGAAATTGCACACACCCCTCAGTTGATGTACCCCATGTAAAACAGGGTGCTTTCTTCTGCTCCTCTATTTATGTCCACCTCCTTGAAGACTCCTTCCTTTCTCCCTGGAAGCCCACAACCACAGCTGGATGGCAGGTTCAACCAATGAGAATGAAGATGGCCCCTGGGGCGAATGAAACTTTGTGCAGATTCTCACACACTCATTGCCTGATGTGGGAGCTTGGGAGCCGATTGTTGTCTGATGCTATCAGTGTAATGTGGGGTCTAGTAAGGTCTAATCAAGGGTTTCCTTGCATTAGGAGTGCTAAAGCCGGACTTGGAATTAACCATGGTCGATTTCTGCCAAGGGGGACTTGAACACGTTTGAATGGAACCAGAATCTGGAGTGCCATCTGGGGCAACATCTGTTCACTTCTCCAGCTGTGTGCTGTCCAGTGTTTATAGATATCTTTTCCTTGCTCCAAAGCAAACGTCGCATCTGGGTGTACATTTAGGTCAACTCCCCTGCACACTGCTGATTTTTAGAGATAGGCCACCCCATCGTGCTTGCGTGCCAATAGGAGACAGAAGAACTTGGAAGTCCAGCCTTGAGAGATGTTCTGTAGGTTGGAGAAGACATTTCAGTCATCTTGAAACCAATAGCAGCAGAGCTTGCTTTGCTAGGCTGAAGGACTGAGTAGAAGGTATCACCCCCATCTTTTCTAGGCAAAAGTTAGATGGGGTGAAAATGAAGCTTTGTTCATGACCATGGACAGCTCCATTTAAGCACAGCAATCCGCATCTTCTGTAACTCATCTTTGGCTTTGCTTCTCTAGAAGAGCTGGCTGAGATCCTTCAGATGCCCCAATTTTGCATTTTTTTTGGCTTCTGCAGATTAAAGGAAACATTTTTGGAGGGGGGGGAGAAATCTTCTGAGTCAGAGGTCTATTCACATCTTCTAGGAGGGATGGCAGAAGAGCAGGTTTCTGGCTATAGCAGTTGATTATCTTCAGGGTTTGGTGGACCAGCAACCAAGAAATTCTAGGCCACCTTTGGCAACTTCAGCTCCCAGAATTCTCCAGCCAGCACTGCTCTGGGTTATGGACACATGTGTTTTTTTTTCTCTCATTGGGAAAAACAAGAGGGAGAAAAAAAATTCCGTTTGTAATAATATGTTTCTCGGGTGATGGACGCTGTCCTTCTAATGATGAGTCCTTAAACATTTAGAAGGGAGATGGAGGAAGAGGAAGAAGAAGAGGGGAGGAGGAAGAGGAGGCAGCAGAAGAGGAGGAATATCTAGAAGTGTTTCTCAACCTCATCAGCCTCAAGATATGTGGACTTCAACTCCCAGGAGTCTTAAGAGTTGAAGTCCAAAAATTTTGAAGTTGCTGAGGTTGAGAAACACTACTTAAGAATCTGCTTCAAGTAGATTGTCCTATGGGAGGATCGTTAAGTAGGGGCAAGTAATGAAAGCCTTGTTGACCTGTCCTGAAATAAGAGCTGTCTCTTGTACAAGGGCACTGCATGCACACACAAATGCATCAAAGCTTGTACCATACTAGCATAAGGGAGCTTTCATGATCTGGGTTATCCTGGCATCAGATCCTGCGGACGTCTCTGATTCCAAGTCCCCAAATCTCTGCAGTTGCACAAGCATTCAAGGTATAAACCTTTGCTCTTGGGATGCCCCCATTGTTCCCTTCATGCCAAGCCTGAGAATACTCCAGGCTGGATTAGCGAAACAGTCCATGATGCCCCTTCAAACAGGTCTAAAAGGCCGTATCCTTTCCTCCCACAGAGCCAAGGCTGAACACAAAACAGAGTACCGTATTTTCCGGCATATAAGACGACTCGGCGTATAAGACGACCCCTGACTTCGGAGAAGATTTGCATGGTTAGAAAGTCATCTTATACGCTGGAAAATACGGTATTTTCTGGCGTATAAGATGACTCGGCGTATAAGACGACCCCCGACTTTGAAGAAGATTTGCATGGTTTAGAAAGTTGTCTTACACGCCAGAAAATACGGTAGCTATGCAAAGAAAGCACAATATCCCACCTGGAGCTGTAACAGGGATGGAGGGAGAGGAATGAGAGGATAGCAAGATAGCCAGTTTGGTGTAGTGGTTAAGGTGCTGTCCAATCACCAGGAGATGGTAAGTTCTAGTCTCACTCTGGGCACGAAAGCTGGCTGGGTGACTTTGGGCCAATCAGCTGACAGCGAGTTCTAGTCTTGCCTTAATCATGAAAGCCAGTTGGGTGACATTGAGTCAAACACCAAGAGATGGTGAGTTCTAGTCCCACTTTAGTCCTGAAAGCCAGCTGGGTGACTTTGGGTCAATCACCAGGCGACGGTGAATTCTAGTCCAGCCTTAGTCATGAAAGCCAGTTGGGTGACATTGAGTCAAACACCAAGAGATGGTGAGTTCTAGTCCCACTTTAGCCCTGAAAGCCAGCTGGGTGACTTTGGGTCAATCACCAGGTGACGGTGAATTCTAGTCCAGCCTTAGTCATGAAAGCCAGTTGGGTGACATTGAGTCAAATACCAAGAGATGGTGAATTCTAGTCCCACTTTAGACCTGAAAGCCAGCTGGGTGACTTTGGGCCAATCACCAGGCGACGGTGAATTCTAGTCTCGCCTTAGCCATGAAACCCAGCTGGGTGAATTTGGGCCAATCCTTTCAGCCCAAGCCCACCTCACACGGCTGTTGTGGGGAAAAAGAGGAGGAGGAGAGAATATTAGGTACGTTCACCTACCTTGAGTTACTTACAAAAGCGGGATGAAATAAAATCTAACAACTAAATAAATAATCCCGAACGAGAAAGGGGAAAATAAAAGATTGGCAGCTTGCAGGGTTAATGTCCCTTGGGGCTGCTTAATTCAGCCTCTCTAAAAGACGGCAAGCATATTAAGTGGGCTGCTTTTCACTCTTCTGTCTCAAATGCTTGCTTGTTGTTGTTGTTGTTGCTGCTGTTGTTTTAAAAGAAAATTGGGAATACTGAGAAAAGCCATGGACGGGATGTCCCCCAACAGTACTTTGCAAAAACAGCCACTTGGGAAATCGCTGGGTGAGTTGTGCTGGTGTGTATTCACGTGTTCCCTTGATCGTAGGCTGATGGCCGATGTTGGCTTGCCTCCAACCAACCAGCATTTCTCTCCCCTTCCATTTTCCAAGCACAGGTTGGCCTGGCATCCAAGCTCTTTCCAAGCCAGGATGTACAACTTTTTTTTTTTTTTAAAGAATCAGGTGGACTTTTTTTTTAATTTTTCCTTTTCCAAAGTCCCATCCAGTTTTCTTCTCAACACAAATGATGGGAACAATTTTCTACAGTAGTGAGGAAGCTGAGGGTAGAGGGAAAGTAATGGAAAATGTTTAACAGCAAGGGGCAAATACATTTGTCTGAAAAGGTATATAGCAGCGGTTCTCCACCTGTGGGTCGGGACCCCATTTGGGGTCGAACGACCATTTCACGGGGGTCACCAAACAACGCAGTCCGCCATTTTTCCCCCCCTTTTCCTTAGCTGTGCTACTCCCTTTTATTCTATGGGCTTTTGAAAGCCAATAGAATAGACTCTCTTGAATAGAGTCTAATTCTATTGGCTTTCAAAAGCCAATAGGAATTGTCCAGGCTGTCTCTGCCCTGCTGAGCCCGCCAAAAGTCCCATTCTGCAAACGGTGCTGCACCAGTTGAGTAGTCCTCGACTTACGACCGGTTGAGTAGTCCTCGACTTACGACCGGTTGGGGGTCGTGGCATTAAAAAGGTTGAGAACCACTGGTATATAGGGTTTCCTGCCGGAGCAGGGGGTTAGACTAGAAGACCCCCCACGGTCCCTTCCTACTCTGTCATTCTGCTAAGGGGTGGGGATCCAGGCAGTGTTTTTAATACTGAGTTTTCTTCACACTTCTTCTGTTTGGGCACACGACAGAAAAGACCTTATAATGGATGAAACTTTGTAGAGTTTTCGGCTTAGCATCCCCAGGGGTAAAAAAAAGAAAGGAGAAAAAAAAAACACTTTCCAGTTGTCTCTTTCTTTCTTTCTTTCTTTCTTTCTTTCTTTCTTTCTTTCTTTCTTTCTTTCTTTCTTTCTTTCTTTTCTTTTCTTTTCTTTCTTTCCTTTTTTAAATTTTCTGGCTCTTTCTAACGTTTTTCATTTTTTTAAAAAAAAAAAATTGGGTTTCTGCGTGCGTTATGTGTACGTGGGTGTACAGATTGCCATAAACTGCTGCATTCTCGCGCCTTTTGTTCTGCAAACAACTAAAAGAGTAAAAAAAAAGTGTGTTGCTTTTGAAAAGCTTGCACGAACTCCTTCATGGGGGGCGGGGGGGAGAAACGAACAGCTTTATGAATATAATTAATTTTGAAGAAAGAACTGAACAGATGAGGCGTTAAATGAAGGCGATGATTTTCAAGACAAAATTTCTGATTTTTATTTCTGTTTTACGGGTAAAGTCCTCTGGTGTTCTCCGGTACTCCTCGACTTACGACTTACTTAAATGGGATCAGAATTTCCATTGCTAGACAAGGCAGGTGTTAAGTAAATCATGTTTGATTTTATGATCTTTTTTGCCGTGGCTGTTAAGTCAATTTTGTCGTTGTTAAATGAATCCAGCTTCCTCCATTGGCTTGCTGGAAGCCAGCTTGGAAGGCTGCAAATGGCGATGACATGATTCCAAGACGGTTCAACTGTCATAAGTACTAGCCAGTTTCCAAGTGTCTGAATTTTGATCATGTGACCATAGGGATGCTGCAATGGCCGTAAAAGCGAGGATCAGTTGTAAGTCACTTTGAACAGTCATTAAATGAATGGTTGTAAGTCAAGGACGACCTGTATACATAGATTAGATCATATGCATCGGGTTTTTTTTTTTAAATGGGAATTTCAGAATATAAAATTATGCACACTTCAAAAGGGTTTAAAATATAATTGGGGACAGAGCACCGAGATGAGGCCTGATCACAACTCTGCAATTTTTCAGATGGACTCAAAGGAACTGAAACATAAATTTCAGCACCTTCATGTTTTGCCTTGATGTTCCTTTGGCCTTTCATCCCCCGGCCTAGGCATGCTGGCTCAAGAATTCTGGGAGTTGAAGTCCACGAGTCATAAAAGAGCCAAGGTTGCCTACCCCTGCCCTAACTCTAACAAAGTTGCCATAAAAAAAAAAAGCAGGAGCAGTCAAAATGAAGGAATGTAATTGATGGATGCACAAAATTCACTGGTGGGCAAAAAAATTAGCAAATAAGAAAGCAACAACTGCTTTCTGACTTTGTGGATGCATTTGTTTATTACCTTTAAAGTAACAATTTTCAGCATAAATGCAAGGCAGAAGAAAGGTCACAAGGTGGCAGTATACGCTCAGGTGTTTGAGGAATTGAGCCAGTGTATTTATATAGAGAGAATTATAATGGGGAATAAGAAAAAACTAAAAACCTCTGCACAGGGTTTAAGTCTTGCCGAGCATTGTTGTTTTTGCATAATAAATTGGAAAATAAAATTAACTAACCATTATTTATCTATTATATATCTGTCTCTCTGACAATCTAGCTATCTAGCTATCATCTATATCCATCCAT